CAAAAGGATAAATTGGATTTAGATAAAATCGTGAGTTGCAAAATTAACTTAAGAGGATATTTTATCTTTTATATAAATCTTTTCTGCAATGTTTTTGTTTTGTACAAAATATCTTTTCTTTTAATTTCCTAAACCTGTTTTTCCTCCTCTCAAGGTACAATGATCAAGTCCTGCATTTAGACAAATAGTCAGGTTTTCAATTAATATAATGGCTCATCAAAGATTTCTTTTATTTCTTCTTCTTCTTCTTCTTCTTTTTTTACATACCAATTGGTGTCCAAACTTTTTAAAGGGTTTGTCTAATTTGGTTTTGGATTTAAATCTTTATATTTTTTTGCAAGAATTAAGACTATCAGGAATGAAATCTATAACCGTTTACGCAGGTCAAATTCTAAAGTCTCATTAGGAGGTCACTCAACCAACAACTCTTAATTCCCCTTTTGTTTTATTAGGGATAAAGAAATGTGTGATTTTTTATCCTAATTAATGGCATGATCATTGAACAATTAGCGAGGTGACAAAAAGACTAGTAGTGATGCACGAGGTAGCTAGTGAAAATTAGAGACCAAGTCAACAATAGTTACTATTAACTATTACTTATTCTTGCATGGCCTTGGATTGCACCTTCTCACTAACTCACCAATCGTGATCTGCACCAGCCGCCTTCAATGTTGACGCAACATTTTACTCCACTAACCAAGTACCATCAAATTTCCTAAAATGAATTATGATCTTTGGACACAATGGAAAATAGAGGGAGAGAGCATAAATATATTCAATTTAACCTAAAAATTTTATTTTTTTTAGTAGATAACTTAGAGGTATCCAACACACAACCTCCTTCACTACCTTGTTCTCAGAGTATGACCCCTAAGACTAGCTCCTCATTGGAACATAGGGTGTATCTGACCAATCACCAGAGGAAGGACGAGACTAATCACCTTTCAAGCGGGAGGCAATTTCCCTCTAACCCCCGAAGAATTCCAAGAATTTGTTTTGCCCAAGATTTAAAACCCTAATCCAAAAATTTAATCTATATAAAATGAAGATTAATTTATAATTTTATATTATGTTTTTCTAAAACTTTCGCTAGGTGCCCTTTATTAAATCATTTGCTTGGTCAAGCCACATCAACATCAAAATAGTTCAAGTATATATTCTTCCCCATTTCAAATACTCTATTTAAATCATTTGTTTACTTGAATTATAGATTGCTACATATGTGTTGAGGTGTGTTCTTTCATTAATACATTCATTTCTAAGCATGTATTATATTTATTGATGCATGATTCAATATCTGAACAACCATCTCAATGAATGCTACCTACCTCATTATTAGAGAAGATTCTAGAAGAAGGTGAAGGGCTTAACCCTGCCTATATAAAGAAAATGTAAAGCCCTTTTTGAAGGTTCACCTAACCTAAGCTTAGTGACTTTCATGAGAATCTTCTAGAGAGAAGTTTGAGTGTGAGACGTCTTTTGAGAATAATCTTGTAATCACCATTGTTGGTGAAACTTGAGTGTACCTCTAGTGTGACTAGGGAAGCTTGAATCTTTGTAATCTTACTATTTCAAAGTGGAAGATTTTCTGGACAAGGTCCCTTGTTTTTACTCCTTTACATTAAGGGAGGTTTTTCACATTAAAATTGTTATGTGTTTTGTCTCTATATGTCTGCTCTTCATTTTTTTGTTTTCTGTGATTTGGCTGACCTGTTGACCAGTAAGCCAACCTCTAAGTGCCAAGCACTTAGCTCGACTCTACGACCTATGACTTGCTTCCGCGCTATTTAAGGGACCCCGTCCCAATAGTGATATCAGAGCCGGAGTTCAAAGGGTTCTTATTAGATAAGATGGAGACCAGTGAAATATCCCATGATGGAGATATATATTTAAGCTGATTGCTAATAACTTTACTTAGTGGAGACCGATGATGGATGATTCTCTCTTATGTAAGGACTTGTACGACGAGTCCATTCCCAATATTGAGAAGCTTGAAGGTATGGATGAAAGCGAATGGGAGGTCATGAACAGAAAGGTCGTGGCCATGATCAAGAAATACATTGACAAAAACCTCGAGCATGTATCCAAATTCACCAACGCACATGAACTATGGACGAAGCTAGAGTCCATGATACAAAAGAAAACTCTTAGGAATAAAGTAGTCGACTTGTGAAACTTGAATACAAGGACGACATGAGCATGATTAAAAACCTCAACATGTACAGAGGCGTAGTAAATCAGCTGTCCAAAGATGAAATAAAGGGAGACAGACAAAGAATTTCACGCTATGGTGGAAAGCGAGACTGACATAAAGCTAAAGATTATTTAATCTGCCAATGGTGGTGAATATTGCAGCCCCTTTGATATCTATTACCGAATGATCGAAATAAGACTAGAGAAGAAACTCCCTCCCCCCAAGATACCTCAGCTGAATGGAGTTGCTAAAAAGATGAACTAAACCATTGAAGAAAGAATCTGAAGTATGATATCCCATGTCAGGTTATCAAAATCATTCTGGGAGAGGATGTCTAAACTTTTATTGACCTGATCAAATTATCACCATTAAGGCCACTTGAAGAAGAAATTCATGAAGAAGTATGGATAAGAGATAAAGCGTCCTATAGTCACTTGAAAGTTTTTGGATGTCGTGTTTTCATGCACATTCCCAAAGATAAGAGAATAAAGCAGGGGGATTCATACTTTAGGATCCCGTCAACTAGAAAATAATAAGAAGTTAGGTTGTAGTCTTCCATGAAAATGCGACGATAAAAGACATATCGAAGCCCAAAGTCCGACTTACTATCCGAAATGAAGAACATGTCCCTCCTGTTCGAACTAGCTAAAGCAGGAAGAGAAATGATAAACCCTTGGTTTACCATGGTTTTAGGCTTAATTATACAAGAAATATATCATGGATTGCATGGAAATTAGGGTTTTACACCATAAAATCATAAAGATTGAATCTCTAGCTAACATCTTGTAATATTTCTTATTTTAAAGGTATTTTGGCATCAATTAAAGCTTTATGGAGCAAAGGAACAAAAAGAGATGGCTGAGTACTGGAAAAAGCTCAAAAGGAATTAAGTTACAAGTATTTGCAAGCTGAAGGAGAGCGTTTTAGCGCTCAACAACGCATTAAAACGCTCTAATGAAGGAAAATAGAAGAAACCCACTGGAGGAGCACGTTTTAGCGCGCTACAGAGCGCTAAAACGCGCTGACAGACACAATTCACCCTTCAAAGAGGGCGTTTTAGTGTTGGGCGCTAAAACGCCCTAAGGCAGACAATAATAAGGTAGGCGCTAAAACGTGCTGATTTGATCAACTTTGGGCCCATGAAAGATTTTATATCTTAATCAAGATGTGAACAAGATTTCACTAAGACTAGAAGAGGAATTAGAAAGATATATTCTCCTATATAAATAGAGGGCCTTGTGACCAATTGATTTAGTCATTCAACAACAGAGAGATGTCTGAAGAAGCACAAGGAGGAATCCTGTTGCGGAGCATTGGAGCACCGAGGAACCAAGTCAACATCATACCAATGGAGGCTTGGGAAACTATCTTCTTTTCTATTGCTTTTAATTCCAGTATGCTAGGCTAAATTTCTATGTAGTTAGGGGTAGATGGAACCCAATTGAATCTTATGTTTTGAATTAAATTTTCTCCAAATTCTTTTCTTTTATTATTTGAATAAATTTATCTTTCTTTAATGTTTTCTATGAGTTTGCTCCTTATAGATTGATTTAGGGGAATTGGATGACAATAGGAATGTTGGTGCATGAACCCTGACTTGGTAAATTTATCATAATACTTGTTATCTAGGGATAGACATAGGATAATTGTGCAATCTTTGAATTCTTGATCTTAATACATGTTTTCTTGGGAAATAATCAGGGAACTAGGGTTCTTCTAAGATCACATAGATTTAGGGTAACAAGGATTTGAGCTCTAATTAACTTAGAAAGAATTGATTGATAATATTTTAAGAACGAATTCTTGACAGTTTAATTCATAGCATATAGAGAAGATTGGGGGAAGTTGAAACCCTAACTACGCTTGTTTTAAATCTTAATTCAATCATCTTTCCAATTGTTTTTAATTCTGAAATTTAATTTGCATGTTTTTAATTGTTTCCAATTTCAATTCTCTTAATCTCAATCTTGATTGTCCAACTAAACCGCGATTAGTGCACTAGTGTTTGAAATCCAATCTTCGTGGGAACGATCTCGTACTCCGGTACACTTTTATTACTTAACGACCGGTGCACTTGCCGAGTCGCAACAAGTTTTTAGCGCTGTTGTCGGGGATTGGATCCTTCGACATTAGAAGTAACTAAAAACTGTTTAGATCGGACGTTTTAATTTTCTACAATTTAAAATTCTGCAAAAACAGTTTATGCATTAATTTTTCTGCATATTCTGCATTTTTTTTTCTGTTTTTGTTTTTTGTTTTCTGTTTTCTGCATTTTCCGTTTGATCCATAAATCTTGTAGTTTGAATCTGAGATAGAAAAGGTAGAAAGAAAAGTCAGAAAAAGCGCAAAAGAAAGAAAAGCAAAAGAAGCAAAAGAAGCATCAAGCTCGACGGAACCGAAGGAAGAAAGGATGGCTGACAACAACGTACTTCAAAATCCTCTGAGGACGTTGGGAGATTACATGACCCCAGCTCAAGTTCCGCAGACAGCGAGCATTGTTAGACCAAACGTGGACGCTAACAACTTTGGGCTTAAGCCAGCACTGCTGCAACTAATACAAAAAGATCAGTTCGCTGGAGGAAGCCCGGAGGACCCCTACAGTCATTTAGAGAATTTCTTGCTCTATTGTGACACATTGAAGATGAATAGAGTCTAACGTGACGCCATTTTGCTCAGACTCTCCCCGAGCTCACTAAAGGAAGAAGCAAGAGGGTGGCTACAATCACTGCCTCAAGGAAGCATCACCAACTGGGATGACTTGGCAACCAAGTTCTTGGCCAGATTCTTCTCAGCTTCAAAGATGGCAAGGCTCAAAGCAGAAATCACTTCTTTTGAACAAAAAGAAACTGAAACCTTGTACGAGGAATAGGAAAAGTTTAAAGAAATACTCCTGAAGTGTCCCCAACATGGCTTTGAAGCTTAGGAGAAAGGACGAATTTTCTTCCAAGGAATGACGCCGAGCACAAGAACCTTGGTAAATGCTGCATCAGGGGATCCTTGAAAACAAAAACTCCAGAAGAAGCGCTGGAATTGCTGGAATCTTTAGCCTCTTAGGAGTTCGATAATGCTCCAGTACCGCAAAGGAGAGCAGGGATCATGAAGCTCGACGACTATGATGCACTGTTGGCACAGAACGAAATATTACAAATTAACAAGAGACAACAAGCACAACTAGATGCTCCTACAAAGCAATTTTCTAATTCTCAAGTTTCTTCTATTAATAACCCTCAAGTTATTTGTGGTACATGTGCAGGTACTCATGCTACTGAAGACTTTGATTTCATGACAGCACCCGAGAATGCCGAAGTCAACGAAATTTGGTACGATCAAAAGATCCAGAATAATCTGGGGAGGAACCAATATAGAAACAACTATAATCAAGGGTGGAAAAAGCACAATCAACACCCAGGGTTAACTTACAAATCAAATCATCAGCTGAATCCTCCTCTACCAGTAAAACAATCGCCTCCACCACAAGGTAATACTTCAGAGTGGGAGAAAGACCTTGTACAGCTGTCCTAGACTACCTCAGACTATATTCAAAATGCAAATGCCTTTAAAGATGAAACAAGAGCTTCATTCCGGAACCAAAAAGTTTCTATCCGGAATCTTGAAACTCATATTGGCCAGCTGTCACGGCAGTTTACTGTAAGGACCCAGGGCACTTTTTCGAGTAACACAGACACAAACTCAAACGCACAATGTAAGTCTATTGTTACCATAAGTGGGATCGTGATTCAACCTGTGGAAAATCCTTCAGTGGAGAAAAAGAAAGATGATGAACCTGCAGCTGAAGAGGAGAAGGAAGAAGATGCGGGAAAATCCGGAAAGAGCAGTCCAGAAAAGAAGCTGTTCAAATGGGAGAAAAAGAAAGCTCTGGACAGGCAACCAAAACCGGCAGATCCATCTCTTTATGCACGAGTTCCATACCCTCTGAGGTTGAAATAAGAAGTCCAGAAACAAAAATACATGAAATTTCTGGAGATCTTCAAGAAGTTATAGGTGAACATTCCATTCGCAGAGGCCCTAGAAAGCATGTCGAACTATGCAAAGTTCATGAAAGACCTGCTGTCTAGAAAGCGAAGTTGAAGGAATGTGAAACAGTGGCCTTAACTGAGGAATGTAGTGCGATCATCCAGAAGAAACTTACTCCTAAGCTGAAAGATTCGGGCAGCTTCAGCATTCCTATAGCAATTGAAATATTGAAGTGGAAAAGGCGTTATGTGATCTAGGAGCAAGTATAAATTTGATATCGCTCTCCATGTGCAAAGCACTTGGAATCAAAGAGCTGAAACCAACTACAGTTTCTCTCCAGTTAGCTGACAAATCGATCAGACGACCAGACGGGGTAATTTATGATGTTTTAGTAAGAACTGACAAATTTATTTTTCCTGCAGATTTTGTAATTCTGAACATGGAAGAAGATGCTGAGATTCCTCTACTGCTTGGGAGGCCATTCCTAGCCACCGCAATAACAATGATCGATGTGGAGCAAGGGAAACAGATGCTGAGGATGAATGAAGAGACAATCACCATTGATGTCTTCGAGTCGATGAAGCATATGAGTGATGGAGGAGACTGTTTCATGGTTGACATAATTCAAGAAGCAGTTGATGACACGATGAAAGAGGAGAGTTCCCACTTGAGTTAGAGCAAATCAATGAAGAAGTTGAACTTGTTGATAAAGAAAAAGAACCAGTGGTGGAAGAGCTAGAGACAAAGAAAGATGACATCCCTCTTGGAGCACCAAATGTGGAGCTTAAGGAGTTACCTCCAAATCTAAAATATGATTTCCTTGGTGACAACAACACTTATCTGTCATCATCAATGTTGAGTTGACAACCATAGAAGAAGAAAAGTTTCTCAAGGTGTTGAAGAAACACAAGGCTGCCATAGGATGGTCCTTCTCTGACTTAAAAGGTTTAAATCCTTCCTTTTGTACTCATAAAATTATAATGAAAGATGATATTAAACCTGTTAGGAAGCCACAAAGGAGACTCAATCCAACCATGAAAAAGGTTTTGAAGAAAGAGGTAGTTAAACTGTTAGATGCAGGAATGATCTATCCTATATCTGATAGTGCGTGTGTAAGTCCAGTACAAACTGTATCCAAGAAAGGTGGAGTCACCGTGATAAGAAACGAGAATAATGAGCTGATTCCAACAAGGACAGTCACCGGGTGGAGGATGTGTGTTGACTACAGAAGACTTAATGCAGCCACTCGGAAGGACCATTTTCCTATTCCTTTCTTGGACCAGATGTTGGAGAGACTAGCTGGCCATGCTTTCTACTACTTCCTAGATGGGTACTCGGGTTACAACCAAATAGGAGTAGCTCCAGAAGATCAAGAGAAGACAACATTCACATGCCCTTACGGAGTCTTCGCTTCCGAAGGATGCCCTTCGGTCTATGCAACGCTTCGACAACTTTTCAAAGGTGTATGCTTTCTATCTTTTCATATATGATTGAAAACTATATTGAGATCTTTTTTTTTTCTGTTTTTGGCCCTTCTTTTGACACTTGCTTAGAAAATTTATCTTGTATTTTACAAAGATGTCAAGAGAGTAATCTTGTTTTAAACTGGAAAAAATGTCACTTCATGGTAAAAAATGGCATTGTTCTAGGATATAAAGTGTCCAAAGAAGGTATAGAAGTTGATAGAGCGAAAATATCTGTTATTGAGAAACTTCCCCCTCCCTCTACTGTTAAAGGTATTCGAAGTTTTCTCAGTCATGCAGGTTTTTACAGGCGCTTTATAAAGGACCTTTCCAAGATAGCAAAGCCACTATGCAAGTTGTTGGTCATGGATGAAGAATTCAACTTCACGGAAGAGTGTTTGATTGCATTTAATATTTTAAAAGATAGATCGACCACGGCACCCATAATCACTGCACAAGATTTTTCGTTACCTTTTGAATTGATGTGTGATGCTAGTGATTATGCCATAGGAGCTTTCTTAGGGCAAAGAAAAGATAAACTATTGCATTTGATTTACTATGCTAGTAAAATTCTTAATGATGCACCATTAAATTATGCTACCACTGAAAAAGAATTACTAGCAGTTGTCTATGCATTTGATAAATTTAGACCGTATTTTCTTGGGGCTAAAGTAATTGCTTACACTGATCATGCTGCTTTAAAGTATTTGTTGAATAAGCAGGATGCAAAGCCACGACTTCTCAGATGGATGCTGCTCCTTCAACAGTTTGAAGTTGAGATCAGAGATAAGAAAGGCGTGGAAAATTTAGTGGCTGATCACTCTCAAGGATCCAAGAAAAAGATCTTCAAGATGGACCTGAATTCAAGATCAAAGAAGAATTCTCTTATGAGCAAATCTTGGCAATCAAGGTTATCTTGGATCTGCAAACTGAGAAAGTGTTGAACATTAGCACACCTCTATGGTTCCCAGATTTTGCGAACTTCAATGCAGCAGGGGAAATTCCAGTGGACTTCACATGGCAACAAAGGAAGAAGTTTTTGCATGATGTCAAGAAATACCTATGGGATGAGCCCTTCCTTTTCTACAGATGTGCTCATGGAGTAATAAGACGGTGCATTTCAGAAGAAGAGATGAAGAACATCTTGTGGCACTGCCATGGTTCAAGCTACGGTGGACATTTTGCGAGAGAAAGAACAGCCGCAAAGGTTTTGATGAGTGGCTTCTATTGGCCGACACTTTACAAGGATGCAAGGAACTTTGTAGAAGCATGTGATAGATGTAAGAGAAAGGGGAATATCTCCAGAAGACATGAAATTCCCTTCAACAACATATTGGAGGTTGAAATCTTCAATGTGTGGGGAATTGATTTCATGGGACCTTTTCCCCCATCTTATGGCATCAAGTACATCCTTGTTGCGGTGGATTACGTCTCTAAGTGGGTGGAGTATGTCGTTCTTCCTACTAACGATTCCCGGGTAGTCATTGTCTTCCTCAAAAGAAATATTTTTGTCAGGTACGGGGTACTGCGAGCAATTATAAGTGACGAAGGAACGCACTTTGACAACAGACAAGTGGAGTATGTGCTGGCTAAATGCAGAGTGAAACACAAAATTGCCATACCTTATCATCCACAAACAAGTGGGAATTTCCAACCGAGAGCTGAAACGTATCTTGGAAAAGACGGTTGAAAGTTTCAGAAGAGACTGGTCCAAAAAGCTCGATGACGCACTATGGGCATACCAGACTGCATTCAAAATTCCGATGGTATGTCTTCTTTCCATTTACTATTCAGAAAGTCATGTCATTTTCCAGTGGAGCTAGATCACAGAGGCTTATGGGTGATCAAGTACTTGAACTTTGACTCCAAGACTGCAGCTGAGAAGATACTTCTTCAACTGGATGAGCTCGATGAATTCAAATTATCTGCATATAAGAGCGCAAGTTTATACAAAGAGAAAACAAAGAAGTGGCATGACAAGAAGATCCTGCCTTGAGACTTCAAGGTAGGACAACAAGTTTTACTTTTCAATAATCGTCTGCGACTTTTTCCTGGAAAATTAAAGTCCAGATGGTCGGGACCATTCATTGTGAAGAACTCATATGGAGCAGTGGAAATCAGTCCTCTGGATTCTTATAGGAGCTTCACAGTCAATGGCCAACGATTAAAATTATATCTTGGAGGACAACCACCGTTGCCCTTGTCGAGGTAACATGAGTCAGGTACGTCAGGCTCGTGACGTTAAACAAGCGCTGATGGGTAGGCAAACCCATAATTTACTATTTTATTTCATTTTATTTAATTTTGAATTCAATTAAAGAAAACAAAAATAGAAAAGATGTGTGAGACTAATGGTGATCATGGAATAAAGTTACTGGAAGAAGAGGGCACAAACAGCTAAGGTATGGAAATTTTCCAAGTTTTTGTGGCAAATAAGAGCATTTAAACGCTAATCAGCACGTTAAAACATGCTAA